GTGACCACTTTTGCTATAATCTTTTTTGCTGCTGTAAACACCTGAATTTCCCCATTGGAATAAAGGGATTTTCTATTCTATTCTAAAACAGAGGTCAGATGATTTAAACAGAAACTGCCATCCACAATATGGCGGAGACTGGCGCTGTTGTCGACGCTCATGCGGCGTTCACTCTAAACTAATATATCTAGGAGTACTGTGGTGCAGTTTAACCTCCTAACACTTAGAGGTGCTATAAGGCGAATGTCTCCTTTATTTGGCGTCTCTCTGTGCCTGCCTTCCTTTACTTTGTTTTTATTGGAAAATTAAATGGACAACTAATACTATCCATGAGAACCGTTATTAATGTTATCTAAGTTGAAAAAAATATATAATTACTGCTACGAATCAGATATTTAATCGCTTTAAGACATAAGTAGCATATGTATCGTTGAGCACTGCTGAAGTCCCACCTCGTTCAACAGTTCCTCTGAACTCTTGAATAGTTTAATCGTCCCACAGGGTTAGTTTACACATGGCCAGAACTACCTGATATTTTCAAGTGGTGGGATAAAATTGACAGTATTCATACATCGTGGGGAGATATCTTCATCATGTTGAAGTCTAAAACCTTCGTTAAGAAAACCCGATCAGGCGGGGTGATGAAGGTCGTGCGAGAACATTATCTGAGAGATGATATTTGGTGTGGAAGTGAAATCTGCACTGAATGCAAACAAGACTCCACAGTTCTTCAGAGAGACGCTTGTATTGAGAGCAATCTGTGTACCTTTCCTCATTATTTGGTCCCTGACACCAACGTAGTGCTCCACCAGGTAAAATCCACTTAATGTGATCGCATTAATTTCGCAATGTGATCGCAATGATCGCATTAATTTTTTCATTTGTTCTTTTTATTGCTTATGTTTTTCCTTCAGATCGACGTGTTAGAAGATCCGGTGATCTGCAACGTGATCATCCTGCAGACTGTGCTGCAGGAGGTTCGTCATCGCAGCGCTCCAGTTTATAAACGGCTGAAGGATATAATACATGAGCAAGGAAGACACTTCTACACGTTCACCAACGAACATCACAGGTACCATGCATCTCTTTCTAACCTGCAAAACTTGGTTTAGATTTGAAGCTATTATTGAGAGCTCTGTTACCAGACTAAAACTACATAGGCTTAGTTGAATTTTACTTTTGTTTTTTGGTGAGTATTTGTCCTTATCTGTCATTGTTTATCCTATTTTATAACCCCACTAATATGTATATAATCCATATCCTAACTTTATTGTACAATCTGTGTATAGCTTCTTACAATTATTCTCCATTTATATGTACCATTTATAGTCCATACTTACATAGTCTTTGTAAACATGTAAATAAATCTTTATATCATGTGGGTAGCAGTGGGTAGCACTGCTGCCTTGCAGCAGGAAGGTTCCGGGTTAAAATCCTGGCCCAGGGTCTCTCTTGCATGGAGTTTGCATGTTCTTCTTGTGCATGCGTGGGCTCTCTCCAGGTACTCCGCCTTCCTCCAAAACTCCAAAAAACACGACTGTTAGGTTTACTACCTTCTCTAAATTCTCTTCACATGTTTGTGAGTGTGTGCATGAGTGTTTTTTTGTATTGTTTGTCTCTCTGTTGCCCTGCGATGGGGTGGTGACCTGTCCAGGGAGATAGGCACCAGCACAACTTGCAACCGCACTTGAGATAAGCACGATGAAATGGATGGATCATGTGTAGCACTTCTAAATAGATGCTAACTGCAATTGATTGCTTTGTGCTAGTGACAGTGTAATGACAATAGAGTTGAATTTTATTCTATTCTATTTGGGTATTGGAGTTAAGAAAAGACAGGGTGATCTCAAGGATGGTGAATAAAGGTTATCTAAATACATTCTAACTACCAGGGAGTACAGTGCTTCAGTGAAAAAAAAGTTTTTGAGCTGACAGTTTACATATTTTTGTGTTGCCTTCATGTTCTTCCAGAGAAACATTCATTGAACGGGAGCCAGGGGAGAGCGCCAATGACCGTAATGACCGGGCGATCCGTGTGGCCGTCAAATGGTACAGCCAGCATCTGAAAACAGATGAGTCTGGCCCAGATGGTGTCAGAGTGGTCCTCCTCACCAACGATCAAGGCAACAAGCAGAAGGCTGAGGACAACGGCTTGCTGGTGTACAGATGTAATGTTGATTAATCTACCTACAGTTCCTTGACTGGATTGAGGAACTGGATTGAATATAAAGCTTGTTTGTATCTGGCACCAGCTCCACAGTCTGTTATAGCTGTTTGCATTTTTTTTTAACCCTTCTAGTTGAGGAGTACATCAAGAGTCTGATAGCAAACACAGAGCTGGTGGACCGGCTGGCATTGTCCAATGAAGACAAGGTAAAAAGAGCTTTTTACCAGCTGATTAGGTAATAATTTTAGGCTAAAAGCATAGTTTTCACCTTTTCCTTGCTTTTCTTTTCAGAATGAAATTGCCAGCAGTAAAATATTGTTTCCGGAGCATCTTCCTTTGTCCAAGATCCAGGCAGGAATCAAGAGTGGCTCGTTTATCCAAGGCACTTTCAGGGCCAGCAGGGACAATTATCTGGAGGCGACAGTGTTTGTCCAGGGAGAGGGAGAAGACAGCAATGAGGTGTGTGAAGACAAAAGATGTCCTGAAATCCTGTTAATTAACCACATTTTTATATAGTTTTATAAATAAAACCTTTGTTGAATGGATAGAAATAAAGCTCTGCTGTGCTCTCTTTTCTTTCTGTCCCCAGGTTCTGATCCAGGGACTTCAGAACCTCAACAGAGCAGTGCACCAGGATGTGGTCGCCGTGCAGCTGTTGCCAAAGAATCAGTGGGTGGCGCCCTCATCAGTCGTGCTGCAGGATGAAGGAGCAGCGAAGGACGACGACGTTGATGGGGACGAGGAGGAAAAATTGGTGAATTCTATGCTTCCCCAAATGCTTTCCAGCGATTGAAAACATTATACTTGGGGTGGTGGGGGGGAATACCTTCATGACCTTCATGTCTCTGTCTTTCCAGCTGAAGCAGTCACTAACTAAATCGACCAGGAAGGCAACAGGAAAGGTAGTAGGAATCATCAAGAGGAGCTGGAGGCCCTTCTGTGGCATGCTGAATGTCTCCCAAATCAAAGAAGTAAGTTTATAATTCTTGGTGTCCATGTCTTAGAGATATAAAGCTTTGAAAATGCAACATAGAGGATCAGAGCCTTACTTTCACCCACTTATAATATTTGGAAAAATCTTCCTCTGGAAGGCATGCCCAAAGGACCAGCAGGGACGTTGAAGGCTCTCTGCTGTGACCAGCAGTTTACAGTGACACAAACACGGCGAGCAGAGCAATCCCAGCAATGATAAAATGAATGTTTTTCTTCTAGTAGGTTTTTGTGAGTAAGTGGCATGAAAATAATGTCAAATCATTAAAGGATAAGTTCGGTCAGCAAGGAATAATCTATGGATCATTATCTATACCTAAAACCAATATGTTCGCTGTGATTTAACGAATTTAGCATTAATCAGTAAAAAGATAAGAATTTTCATCGCCACCACTGAGTCGGGGACCAAAATATATTAGCACCTCACTCCTGCCATCTTCCGGCAGTTATGTCACGGTGCGGTAAGCCTAGCCTAATTCTCCCCGCTTTACAAGCAAAATCAGTTGGAACTAATAGACACATCTGCAATCAACAAAAAATATTTAGGACTTCACCATTGAAACTTGCGAGAGCTATAGTTAAAATGACAAAGTTATTTCACCTTTCAATTCATAATCCTCCTCGGGTTCCTCATTGCATTGCCAACTTGAAGAGGGAGGATTTGCCATTGAACTGAGAAAAACACGCAGTATGTAGCCAACATTTTGAAGAAGAATGTTTTCAGGATGACTTGGATAATAGGGCATTGTGACAAACCCCAGATACCACATTGGGACTTGATGAACAGCCGATACTGCACCGGACGGCACAAACCGGTAGGTGGTAGTACTGTTCTTTTTTGACGAACATGGATGCCTCCAGTAAAGCACATTCAAAGGAAAATTACTCTCAGTTAAAAACACATACATTTATTGAACAGTATGTAATAATGTCATATTTAAAGTACTTTCAGAAGTTTGAATTCTGAATATAACCAAACTTCTCCTTCAAACTAGACAGGAAAGATTTTGCAGACTTGTTTTTTTATCCAATGTGAGTGCATCTAGCATATTCAATAACTTTTATAATGGAGAGAGCCATGATTTATTTTTTATTACCCAGTATAACTAAACCATTTAGTTTGTCCCAAAGCAGCACCAGGATAGAGTTGCTAACATCAGCTCCACCTTGATGAGGTCACATCCAAGGCCAGTCAGTAACAAACAACGGATGCAGGGATCCCTTTTTAATCTAAAGAGGGCACCAAACAGATGCTTTTAGACACGCCAGCAGAATTTCAACACAGGAGTAGCACATTTTCAAGAAAAAATCCCAGAGACATGGGACACTTTTAATGTTTATTTGCAAAAAAAAAAAAGATTGGGGATTTAATTGTTAATTGCTAAGTAATCGGCAGCTTTACTTTCAGTGCAGCAAACTCTCCAGAAGTTCAGTGAGAATCTCTGAATGAGCAAATGTTGATCTAAATGACTGATGATGATAAACAAAATCCACCTGTGTGTAATCAAGTCACAGAGGTCTGCTTAAAGCGCAGAGAGCGTCTTGAAGAACAAGGAACACACCAGACAGGTCTGAGATACTGTTGTGGAGAAGCTTAAAGCCTGATTTGGATGCAAAAAGATTTCCCAAGCTTTTTAAGCATCCCAAAGAGCAATGTGCAAGAGATAATATTGAAATGGAAGGAGAATCAAACCACTGAAAATCTACACAGACCTGGGCGCGCTTCTAAACTTTTAGCTTAAACTAGGAGAAGACAGATCAGAGATGCAGCTAAGAGGCTTCTGATCATTCTGGATGAACTGCAGAGATCTACAATCAATCGTATACTGCACAAATCTGGCCTTTATTGATGAAAGACATGTCTTAAAGATATCCATACAAAGTGTTGTTTAAAGTTTGCCACCTGGGAGACACAGCAAACATGGAAGAAGGTGCTCTGGTCAAATGAAACCTAAATTAAACTTTTTGGTGACCATGCAAAATTATGTTTGTTGTAAAAGCAGCAGCTCATCACCCTGAACACACCATCCCCACTCTCAAACATGGTGGTGGCAGCATCATGGTTTGGGCCTGCTTTTCTTCAGCAAGGTATGGGAAGATGGTTAAAATTGATGGGAAAATGGATGGAACCAAATATAGGAAGAAAACCTGTTGTAGTCTGCAAAAGACCTGAGACTAGGATGGAGATTTATCTCCCAGCAAGACAATGATGCAAAAGCTACAATGGAATGGTTCACAAATAAATATATCCAGGTGTTAGAATGGCCAAGTCAAAGTCCAGACCTGAATCAAATAGAGGATTTTTGGAAAGAACTGAAACATGCTGTTCAAACGCTCTCCATCCAACCTCATTGAGCTAAAGCTATTTAGCAGGAAGAACGTCTTTTAATGTGCAAAACTTGATAGAGACGTACCCAAGACAATTTGGCGCTACAAAGTATTAACTCAACCGAGCTTGAGTTAATACCCAATTTTTCAGTTTTTTATTTGTTAAAAAATTGAAATATTCAATCAATTTCATTCCACTTCATGATTTTGCCCCACTTGTTTATTATTCACAAAAAATAGAAATCTTTTTGTTTGAATCCTAAAATGTGGCTAAAATGTCATGGCACTGTTAATAAATGTAATGATTTTTAAACTGTCTTTCTCTTTCTTTCCATCTGTCTCTTTCTCTCTTTTTTCTGTCTTTATTTCATTAGAATATAGATTTTGAGTAAATTTTGCCTTCACGGTTGACTTAAGAAAATTTTTAATCTTTTTACATAAAAACTTTTAAGGAATCCTGATTTTAAAGCCGTTGCTCCTAGAGACTGTTACCTTCTCTCCTTTGAGACCCTCAGGTTCTCTGTGTCTCACCATCAGGACTAACGGCCTCATTATTGCACCTTTTTTTTACTTTTTTTCTCCCAGTCCACACGCCATCTTTTCACCCCGGCAGACCGCCGTATCCCACGTATTCGCATCGAAACGCGGCAAGCCTCAACTCTTGCAGGCCAAAGGATCATGGTGGCCATTGATGGCTGGCCCAAGGACTCCAGATACCCAAATGTAAGACCCTTCAGAATGATGTACCCAACTGAAAAACAGAGGCTTCTGCAACATTTAGTCTCTATCATTAATGATGTTTGGTTTAGGGCCATTTTGTCCGCAGTCTGGGAAATGCTGGGGAGAAGGACACAGAGGAAGAGGTCTTGCTTCTGGAGCATGATGTTCCACATCAGGCCTTCTCTCAGGCTGTGCTCAGTTTCCTTCCCAAAATGCCTTGGATCATCACACCAGAGGTATTGTCTCCTGTAGTCTCATTAAATAACCAGTTTATTTTTTCTCATATGACCTGCATTAGCATGTATGTACGCGTTTTTGTAGGACATGGCGCAGAGGCAGGACCTGAGGCATTTGACGGTGTGTAGCGTCGATCCTCCAGGATGTACAGATATAGACGATGCTCTGCACTGTCGAGAGCTGGAAAATGGAAACCTTGAGGTGCTTATTTTCTGCACATAAACTATCTCTAACAGTAGTAAAGTATTAGTGTCCTTTTTGTTTGTTAATTTATAAACTGTCCCTTTTTTTTGCTGTAGGTAGGAGTTCACATTGCCGATGTCAGTCACTTTATCAGACCTGGGAACGCTCTGGATAAAGAGGCCGCCAACCGCGGCACCACTGTGTATTTATGCGGCAAGGTAAGAAAATCAAACTTGCATCCACTTAGTTTTTAAACTCTGAACTGTTTTAAGATGGAATTCAATGATTTATGATTAATTGGATGTATGCATAATTTCTCAGCAATCATCAGGAGTTTTGTTGTTTTTAAACTGGAAGTCAAGAGATAAATCAAATAATTTAAGGATCACTTTACTTTTTCTTGGGCGTCCTTTCTTTTTATTATGGAAAAACTCATGAAAAATGCTATTTGGGTCCATTTCCTTATTTTTTATATATCTGTGATAAAACAAAAGCTGTGAATGAATGTTAATGTTGTTTAATGTTGTTTCCAACAGAGAATAGACATGGTTCCTGAGCTGCTCAGCTCCAATCTTTGTTCTCTAAGGTCCAATGTGGAGAGGTGAGAGTGATTTACAAACCTACTGAATTCTCCAAACTTAACACCTCCAGTAAATCTGTATGAAACTCCTCATTAATTAGATTTTTATGCCACTCAGATGATCTGAGATTAAAAAACAACACAAATTTACTTGAATTGGCAAATTTCTGATGCTGACAACCAAATGCTGACCAATCACACAACTGCTTTCAGACACACGATTGGAAATGCGTTTTGTCGAAAACAAAATGGCGTTGCAAGAAAAAAAAAAGTTCTCATTATTAGTGTGGAACATGTTTTATGCTCTTTAGACCTGAACTCAACTTTATTAATCCCTTGAGATTATTCCTTCAGGAAAATACTGTTTCCAGTAGCTTATATAGAGTACAAAGAGTTAAAGCTAAATGCCATTAAAGATAAAAATAACAGTCAATATAAAAAGAGTGAATATAGTACCAAAAAAGGCATTAAAAAAAAGAAATAAAAAGTTGTAATGTCCTTGCATATATAAAAAATATCTGCACGGTAGAGAGTTTAAGGGAAGACTACAGTACATAGTATTTGACTTGGATTATTGCACTGCTAAAAATTCTGCTAAAAATATTGCAGGATATATATATTCTTTTTAAAGATTAATCTGTTTTACGGTGTATTTGAAGGTTTTCTGCACATCTTTTCTGTGGGTGTGAAAGAGGCTTCATACAGGAGGTCAATATTTGCAGCTGATCAGTGATCATAAACAAACCTCCAAATCAACAATTTAGATTATCACATCATGGAGGAGGATAATCTTTAAATTGTTCAAAATCAAGGCTTCTTTTTTTTTTTTCTTCTCCAGGTTTGCTTTTTCGTGTATTTGGGAGATGAATCACAATGCAGAAATCCTAAAAACCCGATTCACTAAAAGCGTCATTAACTCAAAGGTAAAAGAGATTAAAAAAAAAAAAGACAAATTTTTAATTTGTAATGACATTTCTTATGGTTTGTGTGTCTGAATTTTAACCATCAGTACAGTGATTTTGTTTCTTTTAATCGTCAGGCATCTCTAACTTATGCCGAGGCCCAGATGAGAATAGACGATACCAACAAGAACGACGATATTACAAAAAGCCTGAGGGGCCTAAACAAACTCGCAAAGATCCTCAAGAGGAAGAGGATAGAAAACGGGTAAGGAAAGAGGAGTTGGTGAACAATAGAAGAACTAATGTACAGATTACAAAGTGATTCATTTGATTTCTTAGTATAAATGACACTTTAAACCACGGAGGTTAACTTCTGTGTTTCTCTGTCCTCAGGGCGCTGACGCTGTCCTCCTTAGAGGTTCGCTTCCACATCGACAGTGAAACCCACGACCCGATTGACCTGCAAACTAAAGAACTCAAGTAAGCAGCTTTCCCAACAACCGTTTAACTGAAGCCTTTACTTAACAAATCAAGAAATATGTACCTGTTCATCTCTGTCTTAATGATAACTTCTTCCTTATCAGGGAGACCAACTCCATGGTAGAGGAGTTTATGTTGCTCGCCAATATTTCAGTTGCACAGAAGATTTATGATGAGTTTCCAGAGTGTGCTTTACTGAGGAAACATCCAGCGCCGCCTCCATCCAACTACGACATCCTGATGAAGGCTGCGAAGTCCAAGGTTAGATCAAACAATAAGGCTTTTGGTTCAGTACCTTAGAAATGAGTAAGAATATTAAGGCAAGGCAAGGCGAAGTTATTTGTATAGCAAAATTCAGTACAAAGACAATGCAAAGTGCTTTACATGATTAAAATATAGGAAAATAAAACAGAATCAAAGCAAGTAGGAAACAAAAAAATACATAAAATAAAAAATGCAGAAACAAAAAAGAATATTAAAAACAGTTGGACTAAAGAGAATAAAAAAAGTTGAACTGTTAGAAGCGTTTGCCTCAGAGAAGATATAAAAAATCTCTAAATCTCAATATAAAAAAAACAAGCTGCCACTTTATTTACAGTTTTATGCTCTTTACTTTAAGCATGTCTGAGGTTAGTGACTATTTTTTCACATTCATTAAGGTGGGTTTGTGTATTTGACCCATTTAGGATTAAAAAGCATCAAACTTTTGCAGCAAGTTCTAGTTTTCTTGGATGTTGCAGCATCATGTCATCCTGGGAAACCTCAAATAGAAATGTAAATCCCTTTATTGTCCCAAAATGGGGACATTTGTTCTCTGCATTTTGACCCATCCCCTTGGGGACCAGTGGCCTGCCATTGTGTGGTGCCCAAGGAGCAATGCAGGGTTAAGGGTTTTACTCAGGAACCCAGAGTGGAGGCTGTGGGGATCGAACCGAGCACTTGCAACCTTCTTAGAGCACAGGCACACTTCTCTAACCACTAGGCCAACACTCTACCAATGGATGTCAAATGGATTATGCAGAGCACTGAATCATTAGAGCACTTTATTCTAAGGCTGAGCGTATGGAAGCTGTGTGAAACTGACTGGTCTGTGGATTTCTGTTTCCGTGTCTGATCAGAATGTGACGATCCATGTGGATTCGGCCAAGGCTCTGGCCGATTCCCTGGACGGGGCCAAAGTGGACGGTTTCCAGTATTTTAACACACTCCTGCGCATATTAGCCACCCGCTGCATGATGCAGGCCGTCTATTTCTGCTCAGGGATGGACAGTGACTTCCACCATTATGGTCTGGCCTCACCCATTTATACACACTTCACCTCTCCCATTAGGAGGTATTGAAATTCATGTTTTACAGAAATATTTTTTTTAAATTGCACTTTTGTTTCTTGTAGTTACTGTTTGATCTCTCTGCAGGTATGCTGACATCATAGTGCACCGCCTGCTGGCGGTGGCCATAGGAGCAGACAGCACCTACCCTGACTTGATGGACAAACACAAACAGTCGGCACTTTGCAACAACCTGAACTACAGACACAAAATGTCTCAGTACGCGCAGAGAGCATCTGTGGCCTTCCACACACAGGTACACATGTGAAAGCACTGCTGTCTGTAGACAGGAGGAAAAGTGTGATCTCTACTCTGTGTTGACTCTTGCTCTTGCCTGTTATAGCTGTTCTTCAAGACCCGGGGAATACTCAATGAAGAGGGATTCGTTCTGTTCGTGAGGAAAAACGCGATCATTGTTTTGATCCCGAAGTTCGGTCTGGAAGGAACTGTCTTCTTCGACTCCAAAGACAAAGCTTCACCTAAACTTGTTTTTGACGAAGAGGTACAGACCATCCGCCTCGGTTTGCTTTGCAACCTGGTGGTTTATTTCTCCTCAGATTACTGATAAAGATGGATCCTGTGTTTACGTGTCCAGGGTCCCACTCTGAAGGTGGAGCAGCACACGTTCAACATATTCGACAAGGTGAAGGTTACCATCAGCCTGGATGACTCCAACATTCAGCACCAGAAGATCCGCATGGCTCTAATAGAACCAGTGGTAAGAACCGTTTATTTTAGGGTCTTTTAACTCCTATTTATAGTATTTAATTGGTAACATGCTCATTTACTCCAATTTATAATGTTCCTGACATTTGAGCACAAATATTGTATTAAATTGAAACCTCCCAACTATTAACATAGAAAACTCTGAAATTTGATTTTAGTTGTAAGAATAAGAGCAGGTTTATAGCTTTTAGAAGCATTTTACTTTTTCATAAACAATTCAAGAATCTAGCAGTTGGTTGCTGACACATTTCTCTGCTTTAGAGAGTGTGCAATGGATCAGTAGGCAAAAAAAAAAAAAAAATGGTTAAAACAAACGGTGAAAAAAGTAATCATGTACATTTAATATAAATTAATGCAAAAGAAAATTTATAAAGTGGGCATAAATATTTTTTCTTTTTAGAACAAGGTTTAAAAAAATATTTCCATCTTTAAGAGGGAAAAAAGGCAGCTCTTCAGAATATCATCTTTACAGAGGTGTCAAGTAACGAAGTTCAAATACTTTGTTACTGTACTTAACTACACTTTTTAGGTATCTATACTCCATTGCCTATTTTTCTTCCTACCTCAGACTTCTACTCATTACATTTTCACACAAGTATCTGTACTTTCTATTCCTTAGATTTTTAAAACAAATGTTACTCGTTACTCTTGGCTTCGGTTAATGCAGAGGTCACAGGTCAGCAGACCGCAGTCCGGATCTGGACCCACCTGCTGGCTAATCTGGACCCAACTTGATTTAAAACATTTATAAATTGCCACATGTTGTCTGATAACAGTGTCTAAACGTCACTTGTGCTGCTTCTCCTGTTTCCCTGAAATCCCACATCCTCCGTCACCGCTCCGCCCCGCAGCATCCAGACCTCCTGCGCAAAGCAAAGCCTAAAGCCTCCACTGTTCCTCCCGTATTGCTGCTCTCCAACTTGTCCTCGGAGCTCGAGGATAGCATGCGTGATATTATCATTAAATTTATAGGAGCGAAACATAAGAGATGAATGCGTAATTTAATATATTAAAAAAACTCCCAATCAGCATCCAGCATATATGCAGTTTCTGATGGAGATGAGAAATCTGCTTCCTATATACCAAACTGAACGATTGTTCTCTACTTAAAAAAAAAAACACTTTAGATTTTAAAATGGGAAAAAAAGTTGTTTTTTTTATTAAAAAAATTCAATGTATAACATGGATGTAAAAACACCTCATTTTATTTCAGTGTTAAATTCTGTTTAAAGTAACCGATCATTAAAAATGTCTCCAGACCTTTACTGGTTGATGATTTTCTTTATCCGGACCCCGCTGATTTTTAATTGGTTATCCTTGTTTTAATTTTTATAAATATTTATTTTACATCATGTGCGCCATCCAATGCAGATCATTGGCGCCATTCACATCTAGTGAAATGAGTCATATAACGCAAACACTCATTGGTTAGCTATGTGCCAAATTTATGCTGACGCCAAAGTAAATCATCAGAAGCAAGCAGGTGTTCTTCAAACTGTAAACGTGAATTATCTATGCCATGCTAAGATGTCGGATTGTCTGAAAGGTCGGACACAGGCGAGAGCGTATTGGGAGACGGAGACCAACAGGACCTCCCTCATCCTTGGCCCTATCTCAAAGAATTTTTAGAAATAGCCAAAAAATTTAGCTTTTAATTCATATAGTGGCATCTGGCTGTGTTTTTTCTTTAAATGTTACTTTATACTTTAAGTAGTTTTTGTACCACATACTTTTTCACTTTTACTTGAGTAAAGAGGTCAAGTTGATACTTCAACTTTTACCAGAGTGTTTTTAAACTGCAGTATCTATACTTTTACTTAAGTAACAAATGTGTGTACTTTTGACACCAATGCATATTTAAAGCTGGTCAGTAACCACAGGCATCATTTTTAATCCTGAGTATATTTCATACTTGTCAGATTGGACAAGTAAAATTGGATTTGTGAGTAAATAAACCAACATTTCTGAAAATGTTTAATTTGTGCAGTCTGATAAGAATTTGTGGAAGTTCTATTTTTTAGGTCTGCTTCAAATCAGTTATCTGTGTGTAAATTTCTGCTCAGTTTTAACTTAAAGAATTTGGACCATTTTCTGCTCCCCTCAGCTGATTGGTCAATGTCATATCAGTCAGAAGTAAAACAAGCCAATTAGAGGATAAAATGTCATGAACCCAAAACTCACACAGCAACTTTAGCTTATTTCTAACAGGGACTCTTTATATGTGGTATAAGTCATTGTATTTAGTGTACATTTGTTATTGAAAAAAAACAATGAATGCTTAATTGTATTTAAGATTGTTCCTGATAACTTTTTATTTTATTTAACAGATCCCTGGTGTTAGTGTTCCTGTACCTGAGGCAGAACCACAAGCCAAGAAACAAAAACTGGACCGCTGACCGGAGGGCTGTAATTCACCTGGGAAATCAACACAAGATTCCAGCTACTTCTCTACTAATTAAAGATCAATTGTTGTGTTTAGAGCAAGTATGCTGCTCATTTAGGAAATTCAAGAAAGAAACAGGACCCATTTTTATTTGTAAAACATTTCTTTTTGGAGTTAAAATATCTGCTGGTCCAAATAAAGCGGCGCACATCTAATGGCACCACTTTCAAAGACCAAAGAATGATTTGGTGATATTGCTACAGTGTTTTTTTTTTAAATCTGAATTGTCACTGAACGCAAAAATAATCTGTCCTGCAAATAAACTGATGACTCAATTTGTCTCCTTTAGGCAAGGATGAAGAATTGAAAGTCCTTTAATTTTAAAATCTCATGTAGAAAAAATAAAAAAAATTTTTGAAATAAAAAGGGCTCAATCTTTCCATCCTGTGTACTGATTAAAAAATTACATATAAAATCCAAAGGCTGATGTACAAAAATATTAATTAGAAGAACAGGAAGTGTGTGTTAGAAAAACTAAATTGTTTTATAAATATACAGTACTACAAGTCGGTCAAGTCTGCACCAATTAACAGGTGTCAAAATACAGCATTGAAAAAAGGTCACTTATGTGCAACTCAGACATAATTCCCAAACTTTATGAAACCACTGCATCGTAACTAAAAACTTCAATGGTTTACAGAATGGCTGAAATAACCTGCAAACATCCCTTTGATTAATCATACAGATGTAGAGAATTGTTTTAGTCAGCAGGCTGACTTCTACCAAAAGATGCTGGTTAATGTTAAACGTTTCTAAACAGTCTCAGCCTTTGAGATAGATCTGAAAATAAAAATGGTAAACTTCAGCTGGAGGAGCGCTCCCTTTGAGGTAGGAATCAGGTAAGGCAGTGAGGAGGATAAAATGCCTGAAAAAGAAAGGAGAAAAAAAACGTATGATGTCAAATGCATTATCCCTAAGAAATACTAAATATACTATTAAAGCACCGCTTTGTGGTATTTCATTGGCTGACTTTAAAAACAAATGTCTCTAGATAAGGTTCAGTAAAAAGGGTTAAATGAGCAAAATCAGGGTAAAGAAACTTAGTTTTCAGTTTCTGAACAAAATCTTAATATTGGTTCTAAATGTATCCTAATTAAGAGATTTAGCTCTTTAAAAGGCACAACTGATGATTTCCCTCACCTTAACCTTAGTCAATCGAGAGGAGGGAAATGCTTCTTCTACCAGGTTGGAACAGAGGGACTCTTTGCTCTGACAGTCGGAGCTGATGCCATCGATGAGGCTAGCTGTGCCAGCTGAGGTGGTGTTATAGCCGCTGTCCACCTGCATAACATTGGCATTTAATCAGTTGTGGAAACAACGAAATAAAGATTTAAAAGTGTGCTGTTGTCGGGTTTCTCTCCTACCTGCATGCTGGAGTCATATCGGATGCTGCTTCCTTCTGCCAGAAGAGAGACAAACATCTGAGAGCTTTCTGATGCTGACACGTTTCCCATACGTGAGCTGGTCAGCTGTTCTGATAGGCCTCCAGCTTCATCATCCTCCTCCTCCTCGATCTTTTTTATTAGTTCAATCTCTTTTCTTTTTTCTGCTTTCACAGCCTCAATAGCGGCCAGGTTGCTTCTCTCCGGGGCAGCGGAGCGGCCGTATGTTGCCAGAGGGGATGTTGGATCTAGCTCCATGGCTGGAAGAGAGGATGAGGAAGTGAAGGCAGGATGTTCTTCAGCCTCCTGATCATCTTGAAGCTTTGGATAAAGGATTGGCGAGATCAAGGGAGGGGAAGCCCAGCAGCGCACTCTGGGTCTGGGCTTGGGTTTGGAAGCGTGAAGAGGCTCATGTTGGTAATGGAGCTGGTGAGGGGAGCAGCTCCGGATCGGGGAGCAGCCTTCCACAAATGGGCTCTCCTTAGTGAGGGCTGTGTCCAGCGTAGCTCCGCGTGGGGTTAAGTTGGCGTGCTGTTTACGCTCACCTAAAAAGATCCAGATTAAAATGAAGAAAAATCAACCTAAATCACCCCAGTTTCTTAAAGCTTGGATTTAGAAAAATCTGTTAAGAAGCAAATGTTCTACCTGAGCCTATGGGGGTCCGTGCCATGGGAACAATAGGAGAAACTGTCGGGGAGATGTGGCCTGCAGGAGAAGACCTATCAGGAAACAGAGGGCTAGTGATGCTGCCGAGGCTGCAGTCTCTGAAGCAGCCCTGCTGGATGGGACTGGATGAGAACTGGTCCTATAGACAGACATAAAATGTATGAACTTGCACCAATTTCTTCCCAAGATATATGTATGTATATATATATATATATATATATATATATATATATATACGAAAAAACATTTCTAAAAATTCTCAACGTACTGTTGAGGGAGTCTTTTCCGACCTGCCACGGACATGAGGAGACTGAAAGACAGGTGTTAAAGTTTCCCTTTCAACATCTTGGCCTCCAGCTCCTGCTCTGTCATGGGGAGACGGGCCTTCAAACCTGCCGTTAGCTCTCTCTGGGCTCGGTGGGGTGGAGCTGTCAGAGCTGCTGTAGCTGAAATGACCATCCAGGAAGAGCTTACGTCTCAAGGAGGAGGAACTGAGGCTCTCCTGCACGGCATCACATGCCTCCTCGTAGCGATAGTATTCTCCTGAGGCCAATAAACATTGTAAAAACATAACAAAACCTGAAACAGATGCTCCCACTTTGAATCAAACTAATCTTACCGAGTAATTTCTCCAAATCAAAAGCCAAAGGTAGTGAAAGTGTCGTCTGGCAGGCAACTGTAAATAAAATGAAAGCAAATTAGCAGGCTAAGAGATGTCACTAAAAATAAGCTAAAGTTCACTTAGAGATTAGTAAACAAGCTGGTTCTGAGTAACACTTGTTTTTTCTACCTACGCATGTAAACTGCAAAAAATATATATTTTTAAAGTGTGACAGATTTTGAGAATAGATGAGTATGTCATTGATCCAAAAGATTAAAAATATCTCACAAATTTTCCTTTTTATGAAACCAACTTTTCTTCTTTTTTTTGGCTTTCCATTTTCTTAACTTAAAAAAAGAAGTTCCTTTAATTTTTTACTTAAAAGACAAACACACAAAAAAAAAGTCATATGGATCAATCCCTGGTTCTTGCAGCCGTAAGAATTCTACACCTGCAATAGAAACTCTGCAGAAAGATCCACAATTCACATGAGTTTATCCTACTAGAATAAAATAATTTAACAAATCTCAATCGGTGACACCATCAAATGCAGACGGCAGTGAAAACAAACACAGAACTTAAAACTATTTACATGGAAATATGAAAGAGAAGCAGAACTCGACTAATGAACGGACTTTTGTGCAGAAGGTTAACCAACCTGAGATTTTTTCAGACTCCTCTGAGATTGTTGCAGTATAAGGACCTAAAAAAATAAATGAAAAAATGCATAAAAAAAAGATATCTCACACCCAGCTTTCCTATAAGATGACTTACTTTTCTTGTACAGTTGAGGGGCTCTGCGGGTTTCTGGTTCTGCCCAGGGGGAAGGCACAATGGCTCCTTTAGTGAAGAACTGTTTTCGGTAGATATAAAATGCATCATTATTTAAGCAGGAATCTATTAGTATAAGAACACCTCATACTGCAGGATAAGCACTGATATAGTCACATCATTACCTGGTCTATAGCAATCTGACATTTTTCCTCAATGTCAGAATCCATCCTGAAATAAAGTGAAATAGATCAAGGTTAAAGATGAACTAATTCTTTTCAAACCTCTTTTCTTTCCTCAGTAATTTAAGCCTTTTTAATCAGATTTAATGCCTAACAACACATACCTTGTCTGGCTGAGGTAGAATGATTGCCGCTGGATTTCCTCTGGGTCTATGTGCACTGGTAGAAGACTGGCCATTTCATCGATAGACCAGTTAAACTTTGGTGGAGTCTGGAAAACATAAGAAAAGCTTCATATTCTACTACTCATATACTACTACTCTACCTATCCATTCAACTTTAACATTTTAACCACAAAGATCTCAGCATTTCATAGGGATTATGTGCTACATACCTACTTGAAGCAGTGGACAACAATAAAGTATATGGAGAAAATGGACATATGGGTTACAATAGCTCTGTTTTAAACATATAATTTAGGAAGGTGTAGCATCCATCTGTTTTTAACCCTCCTACTCCAATATAAAGATAGGCGATTATAATAAAACCACTCTAAAAAGATCTTCCAATTATTAAATACAATGGTCATCTAAATATGTGAATACCTCAATGCTTAGGTATATGTGGGCTGTAGAATGGGCTCTTCCAATGATAAATAAATTAAATCCATTTAAATGCAAAACACAGCGTATGGCATAGAAAAACTACCACATATTACTCTCAGCACGCCCTTGGTGTGGGAACTCTTCTTAGGGAAGCTTTCAGCAGGTATAGAGAAGCTGCTCAAACAGGTTAACATGGTACAGCTAAAAAAAAAAATCCTCTAAAACTGGGGCTGGGGTTCTGCCTCTTTATTAGTTAGAACGGCCTAGTCAAAGTACAGATTTTATCAGATCTGTGGAGGCTCCATCCCAACTGATTGAACTCAAGCTTTTTAAGAAGAATGGGTGGTAGGGATGTGCCCCAAAAAAGACTTAATTTTTAATACTTGTTTATTAAAAAACATGGAAATAAACTTTACAGTCATGCACAACAAAGTGTCGATGGGTCACGTAGAAACCTTATAAAATGCTTGGAAATATTTAATCAGAGCATAAAATGCTATTAAGTTACATGTCTCTACAAAATCAGATTAATCAGAATCAACTTTACTGTAAAGAAAACTTAAAATGGAGGGTAGATTTTTGACCAGGATGTGTGTGTTTATAGAATAAGGATGTGTGTGTTATGCAATCAAATCAAGCAGGTTTAAAATGATGTAATTGGACTAAGGATTTAAAAAACTTACAGCCTTTGAGGGCTTGGACTTGAAGACAGAGGGGCTGGGGACCAGAGGCTCCCTCAGGTGATGGTAATCATTGGGACTCTCAAAGGGATTTCTGATGGAAGGCCTTCCTGGAGTCTCTGGAGTGATCTCTACCTCGATATGATCGCCCATAATAGCTTCAAACATAGAATATTTCTCTCAGTGTAAAATAAAACGAACATTTCAAACACAAAACTTTCTAAAGAGAGAAACTACAGTGAATGCAACTCGGTACCTTTTAAAGGAACTTTGCTTGCACACGTTTAAAAACGTCATTTAAAAAGTGCAGACAGAAAAACGTCGTTTAAAAAGTGCAGACAGAAAAAATAGGCACTATAAATCATTTGTTAGTACTTACAGTTGCTTAAAGGTCGAACCACTGTGATATTTTTATGAGAAGTGGTTGTAGCACGGATCCAGCTAGAAACAGTTCAAACGTTCATTTCAATTTTCTCCACACAAAGCCAGCCAACCAATAGAAATTGGACCGGATGTTCTCGGCAGCCAATGAGCAATCCTCTAACGTCACTTCCTCCCCCCTAGCGTTGATGCGCTAAACTGTGCAAGCTAGCTAGCTACCTTTTTAGCTGGTAATAAGAACTGTCAGTGGTTTCCATAGTTTTAATTTAGCAGTGTCATATATAAACTAGTAAGATCACTGAAAAATTCAACTGAATTGTAGGAATTTAAATATCTTTCATTTGTTTTCTGAATTTTTAGAATTCGCTGTATATGAGATTTCTGGTTAGCTCCTCGCTAGCAGGTTGTTTCAGTTAATCAATATGGCAAGTGCAACAAATACAAACCTGAACGCAGTCCGTGAAACAATGGATGGTAAGTACGAAATACTAACACGGTAAGAATTTAGTAAAACTGATTTTTTGAGTCACATTCGCAAGAGGTTGGGGAACAGACATGGTCTGTGTTGAGAAATCATCGCAAGTATCTGAGTGACAACATAATGACAAACGTTAACAAGCAAATAAATGATTACGTATAACATGAAAATACTCTATGTTATATGTAATCATTCATTTTATAGTGATGGTGAGATAAAGCCTCGTGAGGCGTTGAACCATTTGGGCAAATTCCCTTATTTATGAAGCCTAATGGGAATATGTCACCACCTACTGGTGTAGTGCAGAACTACAGTTAGCAATATAATTGTCATTTTTTTTTTTCAATTGTTTTTTTCTTATTTTTTTCCCCCTATTTAAGTTCCTTTGAATTTTTTTCATGATTGTTCCGTGTAATAACATTTTGGATCTTTTTTTGTGTGCATAAATGTCCATAAAGAGAACAATCTTTTAAGCTTCAATGTTTTTCTGTCCTTCTAGTGAAATAAGCTCAAGCAGACAGTGAAAGTTCTTGTGCAAATTGGGCAATGATGAGCAAAACGAACAGTGTTAATCATTTTTATTCAAAAATGCTCGTTTTTGCACAGTTTTTGGTTTAATCTGGTTCAAAGTTATGCATCTAACCAATCTTTTGTTTAAACCAACCAATTTAACTTGACTGTGCTTTTACACAGTCTATATTGGTAAACGAGCAAACCAATACAAATTGGTCATATTGGCCAATATACTAGTTAATGTTATAGCAATTTTCAAAATCTAAGGCAGGACTTGATCCAACAACCTTTGGGTTGTGAGTCAGTCTTACAGCTCATGCCACTACTTCCTGAAGCGGTTACATGGTATGGAGGTAATGAAGCTTTGGACATCATCAATTTTGGCCCCTCCCCTAAATGAAGCAAGCCTCAATATGCGCTTTGCGGAAACTCCCCGTCCACTACTGGACACGCTTTGAAGCCTTGGCTCATCTCATAACATCACTAATTTTCAAAAATAAGCATGAGCAATAAGTAAATTTCTTTTATATACATTATCTATTATATAATGTACAGAAATATGTTTCTTAATGTTCATGACACAATTGACAGTATTAAAGATATTTGTAGCATAATACAACTTTGATGGCAACCATCAGTGTTTTTGATTTATTTAGTCAGATCCATTCTACTGGTGTCTCCTAAAAACTAAATACCCCAACATTTCAGGTTATTCTGTACAGTTGAACTTTTATTGTCAACAGCAAGCTTCTCTTTAGGAGATGTGCATTCCTATTTTGAGCATTGTTGGTATTTTTTACTTGTTACAGTGAATTAATCTAACCTTCTTTCTTCACCAACAGTTTTGCTTGAGATCTCAAGGTTGTTGAACACTGGTTTGGACATGGAGTCCCTGTCAATCTGTGTTCGACTATGTGAGCAGGGTATTAACCCAGAAGCCCTCTCTGCAGTCATCAAAGAGCTTCGAAAGGCATCTGAGACTCTCAAGGTAAAGCACCAACCTAAGTTTTCATATTTTTGAGAGGAAAAGTGTGCAAAATGTATTAATATGGGTTACTAACTTACCCTTAATATGAGTAAGTTAGTGTACAAGATCAAACAGCACTTGGGATTGGAGTGGGTCTAAACATGATAATGACAGTGTGAAAATGTGCAAAAGCTTCTGTTAGGGATAGTGTACCTCTTACTGGCCTGGATGAGTTAAACTTTAAGCTATCACCGTGTTTATCAATTTTATAAAAGCATCTAAAAAACTGGGTTGACCTTTCTGCTCCAGTGCTGGACTGCGTTCAGGGCGTTTTTGTGTCAGTAGGTCACTTTACATTAGAAACAACAAAAATCACATGCGGTGTTCCCCAAAGGTCCACCTTACTCTTAGTCCAATAGTCTTTAGAGCAAAAGAAGTGTTTAAAAAATGGCACACAGCTTCAGTTAATCCAGTGCGAAATCTCAAATCAGGCTCTAAATCTGGGTATAACAATGTACTCAAATCTTAACCTTCATAGGCACATAAAGATATTGATCAAATTCACCTTTTATCACCTGATATCTCCAGGATGAAAGGACTAATGTCTCAGAAGGACCTTGACAAACTAATTATTGTGTTCATCTTTGGTCCAACTGATTACACTAAAGGGGTCTTCATAGGTCTACCTGACAAGTTGATCCAGACTGCTACTGCCTTCCTTCTCACTAAACCAAAGAAAGTGGAGCACATGAGGCCAGTTCTAAAATCTTTACATTGGCTCCTGGTATCTCAAAAGCTAGAATTAAAGATAGTTCTGTTAATCAATAAGTCACTGACTGTCTTTGCTCCAAAATACATCACAGACCCCCTGCATCAACTAATGGCCCAGACATCTTTTGTCATATAGATGAAATTTACTCTGTATACCCAAAACCAAAAAAGGAAAAGCAGCCTTTAATTCTTATGCTCCACTAATCTGGAAAGCTGTAGAAGCAGTGAAACGCTGAGTTGCTTTAAATAAAAAAATATTTGTTTAGAACGGCCTTTGGCTGTGCTAACACTGTTAAGTTTCCGATCTAACTTTGACTGAATTTTCTTAATCATTCATTCTTTTTTCATATAATTCTGCTATTTTAATGCATAATTTTCATTCTCTTTAGTTATTTTAGTTGCCTCAATACAACAGCAATGTACTTTCCTTTTTTCTCATGTGCAGCACTTTAAGATTTCATCACTGAAATGTGCTGTATAAATAAACTTGGTTTGCCATCCTGGTGCCTCATGGTTAGAGCTTCCTTCTTTTAGAGTTGGTTATATTTATGTGTTTTATTTTCTTTCAGGTTTCTGAGAACTGTCCAAACTGAGGATGCAAATAGAGCTGGCTATCTGTAGTTGGGATCATGGACTGTTCCTGAGTCTGTGGCAGAGGATGGCTCTCCAGCTGAGTCCAATTTATTGTGGCACATTGTCATCTCCTCCTCCTCCCCAGTGACTAATAGGTTGTCTGATTCTGCCCCAAAATGTTTGGGTTTTCATAAAGAGCTACCAAACTGTGTCTTTTATGTTAATATGGTTCTTGTAGACTGAGATGATCCATCTCACAGAGAAGGTGTGATGTGTGGGTTTAAGTTGGCAGCAACATCCAGCATTTCATTCTAGAGAAAATTTGTTTAATTTTTCATGTAATTATTTTTTACTTGTGTTTTCAAATATGCTTGGATTTTCATTTATATGTGGTATATATTTTTGTGTGGTTTTTTTCATTCAAACAATATCCTTTGGACATATGCAATCATTCTTGGAATGCTTATGAATAAGAGAATAAAATTAAAGATGTAATATTTGTGACCACTAGGTGGAGATGTGTGATTCTTTTTTCATTGATAAGGTCTCCATGTGACCCATGAAAATTGTATCTTACTTTCATTTTTCTTAATTATGGATGCTGAACTTTCATTAAATACAATCTGTTAGCTGAGATATGTTGACTAAATAATATAATTAAGTAAAATGGTTGTAACGGTTTAATGGTTTTGATATTTGCAAAACTTTTATTAAAATGTAAGTGTATAATGGACTGATAGTGTTGCACAAAATGATTATAAACAATGGAGGAGTGATTATATCCACAGCCAACAACGTACTGCACAAAACAAATCTGCAAAGGTCACTCCTAGGAACAGGATGTCCTGTTGATCTAAAATCTCTATTCTGACTCATTAAAATTATTATTCTTTCCAAAGAATAGTTTTAATCAAATTGCAAACTGGACAAAAATATATCTTTGATCTCCCAGAAAGCTTCCAGATCAGACATCTAACCAGACAGCATTGTTTTGCTTGCCCACAGTGTGTAAAATAACTCTATTCATCTTCTAGACGAGGGAAAATGCTGAGAGCACAGAACATTTACAGGGCAATATATGTGAGCTCCCCTATCAACCCCTTGCTTCTATCTGGTGCGAGTGGTTGTGCTCCTCTGAGGCACATTGCACAGAAAACCAAGTGCACAGGAGTGTTTGTGTAAGCACTTCTGTCTTCTCCTGGTTGGTGACTGACAGATTGTGAGTCTAGATCTCTGCTCTTGCTGCTTTGATCTCTTAACACAGTATATCTGTTCCTGAATGCCAGCATCATGTTAGCCGGGCATGAGAGACATGGATCTGGTGCACAGACTCTCCTTGATATCTCACATTTCAGAGCAGACCCTACATCACAGTGGGGGGTGAGCTTTATTATGTATTGATAGAAGCAGAATCCTTTACTTTTAAAAAAAATAAATAGTTATGCATGGCTTGATTGGGCTAGTAAGGGTGTGGGATTCAAGATGCACTGCTGTCTGTTTGATCTGTGCAGAGGGTTTTGCTTTATCCGGCTACTTTGATGTCTGTTAAACAAAATATTCCCAAATCCCATAGTCCTAACAGAGATTAGCGTCCGCATATGCATAAACATCTAAGAGGTGTTCAACTAGGGCACCGGTCAGGTCACATGACTGTATCCACCTAGCAGGCGAGGAGCTCCTCACGTCCAAACTTCTGAAGGTGTTTATATTTGTACGTCTGATAATTATCTGGGCCGAGGATTATTTTTTCTGATAAATGAGGGCAGTCTGGTTTTGGAGTGAAAGACATGTGAAGCAATTATAGTTTTCAGGTGTATGCTGTTATTATCAAAACAATTAGACTGGACTGATTAGCGGTCTCTTATGCATGAGAAACAGCGGTTTGTTTATATTTTTCCTAAGCCAAATTACAGCCACATTGTAATCATGAAATTCACACTGCAAAGGTTGGTTTTGAAACAAAGTCAAACTAAAGTTCAAAGATGTTGTGTATGTGCTCTCATTTCCAGGTCAATTATTAATTTTAATCATCAACAAGCAAGTTTACTGGTCATCCTCATGAGACAAGTCTTTGTCTGTTTAATGCTTTATTGGTCCTTTTATGACTGTCTCTCTTTCATGTTAGATGACACAGACATGCAAATGAGACGTTGGCAGCTGAAACAACCCATCCGTCCTCTAGAGCACACAGGTTTAGGCTATTGAAGGTGGTTCTAGATGCAAACACTTGTATTTCATTTTAAAATTGTCATTTGAATAAAAAAAAAGGTCCATCCATCCATGGTCTTCGCTACCTGGTCAATATGGACTGCATTTAGGCAATGGCTACAGGGTTGGTACCCTGGCGCTCTGAAGGCCACGTTACCTGTAGTTTTTTTCTTTGTGAGCAATCTACATATAAATAACCAACATACAGCAAGTTAAAAGCTTCAGATCAAGGAATCAGCTTCGTCTGCCAAATTTCAGTCTCAGTGAAGACATTAAAGATTCGGAGTCTAAAATAACTCCATGTGGGAACTTCTTGTCTTCTGTAACACTGTGACATCAGTTCACCAAACTTCCTTTATGTAAAAGCAGTTTCCTACTTCTCTCTTTTACCCAAGAGACCCCACCTCTGACTCCGTGCTAGTTTTTCTTTTTTTATGTTTGTTCAATAACATCCTACATAGACTCCTGTTGTACTTACTACAATAACAAGGGGGTATGTGGAGATTTGTGAGAATAAAATATATGAGAATAGAACCTTTTGGAAAATACAAATGGAAAGGTGATTCTGGAAATACTGTGCTTCATGAACCTAAGCCTTTACAATCCTAGATTTGATGAGAGACCAAACATTCAGTAGATTTTGAGTTGTAAACATTGACAAACTAATATTGTGGTCCCAAGAAGTGCAGGTATCTGTCTGCAGATATCATTGAGCAAAATGGCCTTACCTGGATAGGTTGGCCGTTCATCAGAGGGCCAACATGGACAGATAGGTGTTCAGAATAAAGCTGGTCTGTTAAGGTCAGGGAACCTGGAGAACATCTTTAGATCCTGCTGGATTTCTAGACCAACTGCTGTCTCTTTAGATCTCAGTTATTGGTGGCCTAACAACTGCATCATAGAGGTCAATATTATATAAAAAGGAAAAACTAAAATATTATGTAAATATGGTCTCAGTCAGGTTGTCAAGGGTAATATTGAAACTAAAAAACAACACAAAGAGGGTTTTGCACTTTGTTCAATAATAAATCAAATAGGAAGAAATGAGGAATAGATATAACAATTTCCCTCCATCAGTCCAGGTGGCGGATGCTCATATAGTTTAAAAACACTGGGAAACATGTTCATCAACACGGGACCTTTTAACATAGATACAGAAAAAAAATTAAGCCTGGTTGAAATGGAAAATCTGAGGTTCTTTGTAAGCTTTTCATCTTTTATCAGGAAATAATCTAATCAGGGAGACAGTAATCGTATTGCTGAGGATAAATAGAAGCTATCGAGACAAAGATGAACATCCATCAACCCCCCCCAAAAAATGGGTATATATTTATTTCTACAATAATCCACAGATCGCTTCTCTGCAGGAACCTATTACAATAAGAGAGACTTTAACAAGGGTTTCTTTTTTTTTCTTAATAATCGAAATTCCTTTGATAAACACAAGAGTTTCGCTTTTCTCCAAATGATTTCTTTGTTTTTTTCACCTACTCTGTTCTGAACAAAAAACTTGTTTCCTTTTGGCGCATTTGTTTTTGCCTAATGTGTTTTTTTTCAATGATTCAGGAAGGCTCCACACGTGTGACAGAGAGTGGATCCCTGAATTAGGTAAATTTAAAAAAAAAGCTCATTTTGTTTAAACTAGCTTTCATATGTTTTGTTTCCTGAAATTTTATAAGCATTAACTTTAAATTTCACATTTTAAAAATTGGTTT